GGTTGTACTTTTTTAAAAAAATTACACTTAATACTTCTAGAAAAATAATCAGACTTGTGAAATAGATAATTTGTTACTTCTCCCCCCCCACCCCAATTTTAGGACACTGATATAGCTCCTTTTGTGGCCTCTTCCCATCGTGTCTTCATCAAATTTCATGCGGATTATGCGGCGCGACCCTCAGCAATCCGCCTAACGTGGGACAGCTGACCCCGAGAGCCCGGGTCCGCTCGGCACTTTGGTGTGTCTGCAGGGGCTGGACCCGCAGACCTCACGCGGGATGGGATCCTGCCATCCTGATCCCTTGAACCCCCAGCCTGTGCCCTGAGAAGAATGTGAACTTTTATGTTTTTCATCAAAGCATATATGGAATCAACATTTGTATATACCTTGTGAAGGTAGAATGTAGCTTCTTTATTCTAATAGTTTGAGCTGAAATTTTCTAAAAACCCTTAAAGAGTCAGAAATGATTACGGCACGTGCACTGTGTAAATTTCCGAAAGTTAATAAAATAGGAGTGCGATTTTCACTGCGAATGTCAAACGGGGGATAATAAACATTACTGAAAGGTAAACCATGATGCTGAATTCATTTTTTAACTCATTAAAATTTAGTCTTTCCCTGTGGGGTCCATATAAAATTGCAAGCTGAGTGTTTACATTTTGACGAAGTCTGTGAGTCCTTCAGGATGGGAACTCCGGAGCCAAGCTGCCTGTCTAGTTAACTTCCGCACGTGTGGCTGTTGTCAAGTCCTAGTTTAACAACACATAGTTATACATAGTTAAGCGAAGCTTTTAGAAAGTTTTTTTTTTCTGCCTTTACCAAAGAGCCATTAGGTTAAATATGCAAAGTTAAGTCTTATTAAGATCATGGGACCAAGCGAATGAAAGACATTATCAAATGTGTTACTTCCTTTTTCTCTATGACTCAAATGCCCAAGGAGGGATCTTGGCACAGAGTTTAGAGCCACATAAATAAGATGTTCTCACCTTAAAAATTCCTGCTTCCTTTAATTCTATGATGGATTGATAAATCAACCCTATGGGTGACACCCTATTGAGGAGAAGGGTGAATGCAATGAAGAGACAGGCTGGAACCAAAACCCCCAAGGTGAAATTTGATTGGGGAAGACATAAGATCTAGCTCTTTCATCTAAAAATGAATCACCAAGATACAGAATATGGAGAAAGGTGTGCAATAACCCATGAACTAGGAATTTTAGCTAAAAGCAAGATTAACATATGCTGTAGAAGATGCTTTGTTCTGTGATTGCATCGTTCAAGTAATGGTGTCTACAAGAGTCATTTTCATTCAGGGAGACACACGATCCTAGGAGGTATATGAGAACTGAAAAAAAAAACCATCGTCGATATTATGATGTTTTAAAATTGAAAACTTAACAACAGGAAATAAGAATATCTTCTCTCATTCCGTAGGCCGTAAGTAGAATCCAAAAAGCCATGATGTAAGATGAATGGGCTTGAGGGGTGGGTGAGGGGAGGCCTTAACTTGGAAGGGAAGGGAGCCCAGGAGTGAGGGGAGCCAGGCTTCCACACAGTGACCTTTCTCCCCACTCCTTTTCTGTCTCCCTAAAGAACTGGACCTTAGCAGGAAGGACAGAGCACCTGCCTTTTGGTCTTCAAGGTTAAGTCAGCCATTGCTGGCCAGAGTCACCCTCATCTGACCTTCAGGATGGGATATCTCAGCAAGAGGACACCGCAGGCCAGGAATCTCCTGGCACCTCAGACATTCTCGGGAAGAATGTTGTAGGGGATGGATGGGGCAGGTGACAGTTTGGCGGGGCTAGGAGATAATTTCCTATTAAATTTCAGTTTCACGTAATAGGAGGAATTTGTTAAAAATCAGTTACATTCACCAAACAAGTACTAAGATCTTTCATTTTATTAAAAAAAAAATGAGAACTACCATCTATGTGACGTGCTCTATGCCAGGCATCGTTCTCACATCACTCACTGAAATGGAACACAAAGAACCTTCATCCCCATCTTACAGCTGAGCAAAATGAGGTACGATGGAAAAGTTACCTAAACTTGCGTGACACAGCTGAGATTTTAACCTCAGCAACCAACCAAGAGAGTACCTCCCCTCCTGCCTGAAGGATTGAGTGTGACCTTTTTAAAATATGACAGTCCAACTTCTATCGTAGATCTAGTGACATTATTAAAAAAGACTGACACTGTTGTATGACCTAGAAAAAATTAGAATGCAATAGCTGTTGGTTTGGTGAAATCTTAGAGATGACACAGAGTCAAAAATAATGTTAATGGAAGAAAATTTTTAACTTACAGAGACCTCATGTCACTCCATGGCCATCAATTTAATGGGGAGATTACTGGAAGAAAAATGATACGATGATTTTTGGAGATTTAATGAGAAATTTGCTTTTCAAATTTTAATGTGGTGACTTACTTTATATGTTTCTTAGTAGTTTGTTATAAATACAGGTTAGAGACTAAAAAGCATTTTTAAATGCATGAGTAATGTAACGGTTAATGTGAATTGACCTGCTGTTCTCATAGTCTGGAGTGCCACCTGTAGCCCATGCATCTTCCATGCTGTCTCTAACTGGCCCACCATGTGGGCTTGAAGGCAGGAATAGAACATCCCTCCATATTGAGGCATAAATTAAGTAAGCATGGGGTCCTTAGCAGTGATGCTGCAGAGGGGATTTAAGCTCTGGTAAATACTGACTTTTTCTTGCAGGACTGGCTACCTAATTTACCCAGTGCAAAAAGGAAAATGGATGATCCCTTGTCTAAAAATTATTAAGTATTCCAAGCCAGTGACAACAGAGCATTAAACCAAGCATGGGCCCATTCCAGCCTGGAGCTTTGGGTCACTGTATGCACAGTCTGCATATCCAGGAAGCCAGCCCCGTTTTCATGCTATAAAAATCTGGAACTTAGGGACACACAGTTCATTAAGATTTGGTAAAAGTGAAAAGAAAGAGAGCAGATAATAAGGGAATGAAAACAAATCTCTGGAAAAGTGGAAATGAAGGCAAGTGTGATGAAAATTAAACAGAAAGAAAAGGTACCCCGAAATAAATTCAAGGGGGAAATGCAGCAGGACTGGGAATTGATTTTCCATAGGTTATCTAGTTGGGGGGCTGGCAGGTACAGTGTGAGGGAGTGAGACAGGAAGTAACAACTGTATCCATTGATGCTCACATTTCCCCATTTCCTTCTACTAGTTAAGGCAGCCTGGTGGTCCCAGGTGGCCATAAAACTGGGTTCTAACCTCTGAAGGAATTTAACCAACAGCCTAGGGAAAATTTATGTTGACCAAGGAGGGAAACAAATTCACATCAACAACAGAAGAGGGACAAAGTAACTACATCAGCTATCTAGAAAAATCAGCTTGGGCTTCATGCTTAAATACAAAATGATAGCCAGGAATCACCAGACAGAGGAAGAGTTACAGCTGCCTGAACGGACTAGATAAACTAACAAATGAGGAAACATAATTTAATAAACAGAAAAGAGGTTTAAAAACTGTTTACCCTCAGAGAGATTAGAGAAGAGAGTGTGCATTCATGAATCAAAAGCAGGGTATATTAAACAAGGAGGTCTTAGGAAGTATATTTCATTAATAGCCAAAATAATTTTTAAAAATTTAATAGAGATTTGGAAAATAAAAGAGAAAAATCTCTCAGAAATTAAGTTAAAGGGAAAAAAATGAAAGAAAGAAAGAAATGAAATATATGGGGGGGGGGTGGGAAACAAAACTATAGAAAATCAGCCTGGGAGGCTGCCACCTGACTAACAAAACTTCCAGAAAGAATGATAAATCAGAGAGAATGGCTGGAAAGAAATTTCAAAGGAATAACAGAAAACAATTTCCAGAGGGAAAGAGAGAAATGAATCTTCCTCTGAAAAGGACCCAAAAGCACTAAACAGATTAAGTGAAAAAGGACACTACTCCCAACAGATACTATGGTGAAATTTCGGCATGATCAATCAAAGATCACAAACGCTTCCCAAGGGAAAACGACAGCTCCCTGCAAAGATTTGAGGAGACTGATACATTTATGGCCATCAACACAGGAAACATTAGTCGGTGGGACTCTGCCACTGAGATTTAAGAGATACTGATTTTGAACCCAAAATTACACGCTAGTCAAATGATCAAAGGTGTGGGCAAAATAAAACATCTTGAAACATTCAACAACTCAACAGTTGTGCCTCCTACACATTGTTTTAGAGAAAGTTACTTGAAGGGTATAGGCACTCCAGCTAAATGCCTATACAAGTGTCTGTTTAAAACCAGGAACAAAGTGAAAATAAATTATAGATAACCTCTCAGCTGGAGGGCCAGAATCAGTCTAAGAGCAGTAAGTTAGTAGATTCCTAAAGTCTTCAAGAAAAATCCATTGGATTCCAAACAGTGGGGAGTAATGAAAAGCTTAAGGTACAAGAAGAAAAAGAAAACACTTTAAAATTCTAGTTAAAAAAAGAAAAGAAAATTGTGTAAGGAAATCATCATTCAATAGAAAGCAAACTAAACTGTGACTTAACTTTGTAGGATAAGAACAGATAAGTCACGTATTTATCTGGTGACTGCGACCTGGGGGCCAGGATGCACAGACCACCAAGGAGTTCTTGCTTTGAGGAGCTCACAATATAGCGGGAGGCACAACTGTGAGAAAGGGACTCGGGGTAGCAACTTCCCATAAGCGGAACCACAAGGCAGCAGCACACGCAGAAAATTTACTTGACGCTTCCCCGCGCCCCAGCTTGACCTACAAACCACTCCGTCGCAGCCGCTCCCAGAGCTCCCCGGCTTCCGCCCACAGGTCTCTGGCTTCGAGCTGCTCACTGAGCCTGACCCAAACTAGTGCGCAGGCGCCGATCCAGTCCAATCGGATTCTCCAACCCGGGGTTGGGGGGGTGGATTCCAGAGGGATGGACTAACCTCTGGGGTGGGTGGAGTCTCGAGGCCGAATAGCAGACGTGATTGGCCAGCCGCGGGGTAGGCAGTCTCTTATGGGCCGAGCCTCGCCCTGAGCCACGTCTAGGGAACTGTTCTCCTAATTTGGGAAGGGTCGGGCGCGGGCGGGGCGTGCAGCTGCGAGCCGCACGGTGTGCGCCTGCGCTGTGCGCCGGGACAGGGTGTGTTCCTCGTTCGGTTGCTCGTTTTGCGCAGGTCGAGTGCATCTCTCGGCGCGCGGTTTCGCTCTGCGGAAGCCTGTCGTTCCCACGCCCTGTGAGGTGCTGCTCTCCGCAGTGAGTGTGTGTGAGTGGTACTGCACTTGCGTTTGCTTCTCTGCACGGCGGGAATGGTGCCTGGACCCTTCCCACTGCCCTGTCCCGCCCTCTCCATCCCCCTCCCTGCACCCGGATCCTGCCCGCTGCTGCCCACTTCCCAGGGCCAGGGGAAACCTGGAGAGTGCCAGCCCGGGGTTCTCTCACTTTTATCCCTGCAGCCTGCCAGCCGTCGCCCACGTGCTGTTTTGTTGTCGTTTGGTACAGATCATGTCCAAGTCTCTGAAAAAGTTGGTGGAGGAGAGCCGGGAGAAGAATCAGCCGGAAGTGGACATGAGTGACCGGGGCATCTCCAACATGCTGGATGTCAACGGCCTTTGTAAGTTCCCTGGAGGCCCTTCCCCTTGGAGGAGCTGGAGGGACTTCTGAGTATAACAAGTAATTGAGACGTTACAGTGGTTTAAGTCCCACTTGTTGCTTGTAAACAGCACTTGTCAAGGGCTTAGCTGTCAGAATTTGTTCTGTCCCAGCTGGAAAACGGACAGGAGAGGCAGGATGAGAATCACACAGACTCTTGCTGCTGTACATCACCAGTTGTCCATGCTGAGTGATGGCATTGGGGTGGACCAAAGATTATTTCTGAATAATTTTTCTATTCCCTTAATACAGTCTTTGCCCTTTGAACAAATGTCACGCAAAAACTACGTAAGTATTTTTGTGTCTGGAGTAAGTTAAACATTTCTAGACTTCTTCTATCTTTTTCTGGGTTTATTCTCCTAACTTCATTAAGGCTTTTATGTCCTCTTGTGCTACTGTGATGTCTTCCTAACTTTCCCTCTTGCCTTCAGTTTTACTGCCCCTGTACTTTTAGGCTCTGTATTGCTTTCAGTGTTATTTTCCTGCGGCACACATTTTATTGTAACTCTCTCCTTGAAATCAGGGGTGGCAAACTCAAATGCCTTCTGGGGCTGGTTGAGGATGGTCATGAGTTCCATAATAGGGATCCCATCTGAAGAGGGCAGCCGCTACGTCTGCTGTCAGAGCCAAATAATTGTCACTGGCCCACGTTTGCCAGACTTTTATTTTTTTTATGAAGCCAAGAATCCAGACTTTTATATGAAAATTCCTAACTTTTAGATACTGGCAACTAATTCCAACATGTTAGATGTGAATTCAAACCCTTCTTCAGGCTGACTGTGGCTGAAGTTTGGACCTTCTCCCTTAAACATTTCTCCTGGGTGTCCATTAGCAATGGTAAGGCTCCAAGTTCATTAGGGTGACATGTTCCTTTCTGAATCTGACCACAATCTACCTTAGCTCCTGTTCCTTCCATGCATCTGGTGTCCCCACCATCCTGAACTGATAGTCCTTCCTGAACCAGGGCAGCCTTTCAGGTCTCTATGCCTTTAGAAATATTGTTTCCTCTTCCTCCCTCTGCTTCACCCCAGATCCTGCTACTTACCTGCCAAAGTTCAGCTCACTTGTCACAGCCTTCATTGTGAAGCCATCTCTGTCTGTATCACACTGACATAGTCACTTCCAAGGACATACCTTGCTTTGTGACTCCTGTTACACAGGACTGTGATGCGTTCTTAGTCTAAGCACCTCTCTTCTCCACTGGCTTGCTGGCGGCACTAAACCTGTGCAATATTCACAGGTACCTACCTTCTTTATGATCATGCCTGGAACAGAGCAGGTGCTCAAAAATGTTTGATGGATGAAGGAAAGAAGGATGGATTAGGCCGGCGAGTCGATGAGACCCAGACCAGGAGGTGACATGGGAGAAGGGGAGATGTCTGGGAGACCCCAAAAGATGATGCTTGTTGGGCACAGAGAGGGGAAGGTTACTGTGAATGCTTCGTTTGTGCCTGGGACGGAGCTTGGGAGGTGCCGCTGATTCCTCTCTGCAAAGGCAAGGGGACGAGAGGCCATAGCTGATGTGCATTTGGTAATCCTTAGGGAGACACCTGCCAGTTAGTTTCCCTTTTGTGCGAGTTAGCATCTCAGCCTCCTGGGAATGTGCTGGCCTCTCTCAGCTGTGATGGTTTCTTGGTGGCAGTGAGAGAGCAGGTGTCTCTGGTCCTGAATTGGCACTGAAGATCAGGATGTGTCCCTGCACTGCCTCTGCCCTGCGGGGGCCGTGGTGGTACCTCAGGGAACCTCAGGGACCACAGCTTTGAAGAGGATTCTTTGTGTAATGTTTATAAGCAGGGAAACTGGCTTATTATAGTCCCTATTTCAGTTCAGTTGTGTTATCTCTTTGAAGCCTTGGCTTTCATTGGAGAAGAAAAGATAGCCACTTGCTTCCTGAAACAGGTGTTTCCGGTGTCATATGAGGTGCTGGAAAACAAGATAATTTTTTTTCCCCAAAAAGTGGCTTTGGGAAAAGCCTTGGGGAGTTCAGTGGAAGTGAATTTGGAGAGTCCACCATCTCTGGCCTTTGGAGGGTGGTTGACCCCAGGAGTGGCTGCTGACACTCCCCGACTTCTGGAGTCTAGAGGGTCCCAGGATGCCTTCAGGGTCCCCTCCTCCGCTGGGACTCATTTCTCAGTAGTGCACGTAGCGCTTACTCTCTATATTTTAATATTTTACATACTAAGATGTTTGGCATGATGACGTTAGCTGTAGTATAAGAATTCCTATAGTCTTTAACTTGTAAAAACTTTAACTGTAATCATTAGGTTTTATGTATTAATATCAAGATTAAGTTCACAGGACAGTTGATTTGCACAGGCAGAGAATGGTTATCGTGTCTCAGGCTTTCCTTTCATTATCTTTGTTTAGTTTCTCAAATGATGAGCAAGAATTCAGCTTTGAAGGTAAGAGTGGAGGTTGTGTGCTTGGGAGAGTTGTGTCTTATAACTGCAGCCCTTCCTTCCTCTGAGACAGTCAGTTGCCTTTAAAAAATATTCTCAGGAGTTTGGGCACCAAAAACTTTCTGATGGGGAAGGCTCCCTAGGCTGGAGACACACATCAGACAGGTCCTAGAGTTTTCTGTCAGTCCAGCCAGATGCTGGATGTGGTCAGGTCCTACCCTGGGAGGCAGACATGGTCCAGTGCTCCCACGTCGGGCCTCGGAGTTCAGGTGGTCCGTCTTCCACTTAGCACTGTGCGACTTCAGAGAAGTGACTTAACCTTTCTGAGCCTCACGCTCCTCCTCATCAAATGGAAACGCAGGTACCCACTTGGTGTTGCTGGGTTGGTGCTGAGCGTGCTGTTTCACGTCAGGTGCCCAGCATCGTGCCCGGACTGCGTGCATGCATGGTGACTTTGTACGACTGTCCAGAGAGAGCGTGTAAGCCCCGGGGTAACCAGTCCCAATGTAGTGGATGGCCTGAACCAGGGATAGGCTGGTTAATTAGACCGGGCAAGGCCTCTGTGTGTGTTGTGTGTTGATGCTTTCTGTGTGGCTTCACAGAACCTGGTGTGTTTGGGCCGTTTGCCTAGGATCCTGACAGATTTCTATTGCTGTTTCCTTCAAATGATCCCTCCGTATATTTCTTTCATTTCCGCCCGCTACAGGGCATGTAATCTACACACACATTCTCCTTAAAGCTTCCAGGAGTAATGGTACCAATTCTGTGCTTTTTTATTCAAGAGGTTTCACTGCAGAATCTCTCCCACACTGCACTCTTCATCTGGGTGATAAAATTGCTCTTGAAGGGCCCTGTAATCAGCTTCAGCTTTGGTGGGAGCAGAGAGTCCCAGCAGTGGCCAGAGAACCTTTTATCATTTCCTTCTTTTTTTTTTAAGTTTTTTATGACTTTTTGATCTCATCATGCTTATTGCCCTCTGGGTGTCAAAACCTGTATCTTTTTTTATTTTTATTTCAGGTTAGACTGAAATATCTCTCTGATAAATCTTAGAAAAGTCAGCTGCCTCTGAGGAAGTTGCCTTTCTAAAGGACCCTGCAAAATAATCAACAGAGGTTACACTTTGTTGATTAACGAACAAAGGCTGGTTATCTGGATGGGCTGTTAAACCAGGAGGTGGTCATGCCTGTTAGGAATTTTCATCATTATAGGACTTCTTCGGGGTAAAGATAAAAGAGCTGTGAAGACCATGTTATTTTCACCGTAATCTTCATTAAGACCTTTTAAATTTTTTGCTCCTCTAACTTGCACATTAAAGGCCGCCTTTGTGTTTTGAAACGTGCATGCCTGGGCAGTCCCTTCCTGTCTCTCTCCAGCCAGCCTCCTCCGCCCAGTGTTAACTGATGCTCATTGAAGAAGTGATGGCTTGCTTTCCACAGGACTCCATCCTCTGTCACCTCCTCTGAGAAGCTCTCTAGGACTAAATTTTAACCCCCATCCCATCCAGCCTGGCTTAAGCGTCCCTCATGGGTCTGGTGTGCACACCTCTGTTGCGTCTGTACTTGGCGCCTGGGAAAAGTTTCATGGAGAAGGTTACTGTCACCATCTCATTAGAATTGTTATCATCCTCATCCTCATCCTCAT